CTCAAAAATTCACATGGAGAGTTGTTTTGAAGATTTTCAAGTGTTCATTGATCAGCTCGATTTAAAATATTTTTTAATGTTTAAATTTTATAATTAAATATAAAAATATATTTTCAAGCCATCACAAATATTTCCGATCTTGAAACAATATTTGAAAGTACGCCTCACTTTGGATGTTTAGGACCTCAGCCCTATGCAAACCACAGCCATCAAATAATGTTAAGGTAACTAAATTGTCCGATGGGAACTCTAAAAGAAAAATGAAGAAATTTTCTAATCATGCGGGATAATATACTCCCTTAGGCAAAACTTAAACTCGGGATATCTTTTAGATTTCAAATTTTGGGAATGTGATCTCTATAACCGACAACCTCAAAATGGAAAAAAAAAAAAGTAACGATAAAAATTAAGTCTCATTCTCTATCTACCTAAAGCAAATGGCTCAAACCATCCCATTTTTTGGAATGAATGATATAGATGTTTAACTTAAATTCCAAAATTTTCTATTTAAAAATAATCATCTAGTTATAATTAGATGGATCCTGAATTTCAAGCAAAAACAAAGTTCCCAATTAGGGTTTTGCACAAGGGAGTAGATTTATAGTATACTCCCGAGGGAGCATAGTGTACGTGCTCAAAAATAAAACTGGAGTATTATATAATTGGGGGGTTAAATTTTATTTGTGTAAAATATTGGGCAATTAAAAAACTACATATCCATAGAATGAGTATAGCTGAGATGAGAATGTTGAAATCGATGAGTGGTAAGGCAAAAAAAGATAGAACTCAAAATAAATACATTTGAGCTAATTTAATAGTGGCACCAATAGACAATAATGAGATAAAGTAGATTTAGGTGGGCTTGCCTCATGTAACGTAAATCCAGTACAACACCTGTTACGATGTGCGAGTTAGTTCAAGTGGAAGGCTCAAAAAGAGAAAAAAGTATAACCACAAGGCCATCGTTGGAAATAGTGAAAGAAGATATGAAGATTTATGACCCTATTGAGGGTATGGTCCTTGATAAAGCAAAATGACAGCCAAAGATTCATGTTGCTGTCACACCCCAAGAATTTACAATACTGATATTCCTGAGATGTGATAGTCAAAACAAAGCAATTTTAGATATCTACCATGCGATACCCATCAGGAAGTTGATGGGGTATATAAGTGACTTACTTAGGACGCCAGTAAGGTATTTTGTGAAATCTTTTGAATTATGCACTACCGTTAAAATGTTATACGCATTTCAATTATTCGAATTATACTTAATTATGCATTTTTTAAAGTGAAACTGTTGATGCATTTCTCTTAATAGATCTCCTTTTTTAGAATATTGATATCTTTCAACCATGATTATTTTTAAGATTATGAAGATCACTTACTAAATAACCAAACTCATCAAACTATGGTAAACATTTATTTCAGGATAACTGCGGTTTCATTTTGAGTGCTCGTCAAGATCAACTTTGAAAGATATTGTAGTTGTACTTAAACTTTCTTTTGTTACTTTGTAAGAATTCGCCATTGTAAATTTGTCTTGTCAAGAGATGTATATATGTTTAGACCTTTATGTTAATATTGGTTATGAACAGAGTGAATGTTCTAATCCTAAAATTTCAAAAAAATAAAATAAATAAATAAATAAATAAAAGGGAGTTTTAATTTTGTTTCAATGCATAGTAGATATCTAAAATTGCTTTGTTTTGACTGTCACATCTCAAGAATATCAGTATTGTAAATTTTTGGGGTGTGACAGTAGCCGACCCTAATTATTTGTGAAAAGACTGATGATGATGAGGGGTTAGATTTTATGTTTTTGACTTGTTTCATAATTGTCAAAAGGTCAAACATTAGTTTTAACCATCTAAAGGGATTGAAAGGTAACAAATAGAGGGACTATAGGGATGGATTTGTTGTGTGGATAATTTCCTTGCTCGCCCACAACCCTGGATTCTTTTTTAACCTTTTAAAGCTTTGGGACGAGGACTTGGGAGGAGAGAATAGGATTTTATGAGTTTTGAGTGATGAAGAGTTAACAAAAAGGGTAATGGAGGTAGGACAGGTGGTTTATGATAATTCGGGGGTAGTAAGTTCTAATGGTTTTATCCCTTTAGTTCATTTGGATCGGACTGTTGTGGAAAAACTAGAGATCAGGTCTGAATTCTTTGACTAGTTCTTTCTCACTTCCCATTGGTTGTTTAGCCTTAGTGATTGAGGGAGAAGATGATGGAGTTTTGAATACTTGCCGGATGTGAAAGCTATTGGGGATATAAAGTAGTGTTTAAATCACAATCTGCAAAAAATGTTTCTAACGCTCTTTTGAACAGATTTTGTAGGTTTAGAGGATCTCTGTTGTTTATTGACCATTGAAAACCTTTGGATCATGGGTCTTGTGCTCGTAAAGAACATGTTTGAATTAGATTGTGGGGAATTCCGCTGCATGCATCGAAACTTGCTGTTATCTAAAATTTAGCTAATCTTTGTGTGGATTTAGACTCAAGAGTGCTCCAACAACATCGATTCCACAAAAAGAAACTGCCCCTAAACATCACACCTCCGTAGCCCCAATAATATTTGGGCTAGGGAGTTTGGTCTCTTGTAAAATTACCACCCACAACCTAAATTTAGTAAACAAAAAAAGAAGGTACCTTTTACATCTAGGGTCTCCAAGACCCCTTACATTCCAATAAAGAACATTCATTAAATAGGAGGGTTTGAAGAGGAACCTGACCCATCAGGACCTAACGCCAAAATATAGCTCTTCTAGCAAAAGAGTTTCATTCAGCACAGAAGAATCACCAATTTGACGAATCAGTAGCAACTGAAGCAAAAGTCTCCCCCGTAAGATCAATGGTTACAGATTCCTCAGCCTTGCGTCCTTTTGATGCTGCAACAATCTTGATGATACCTCGAGCCTCTAGACGAGCAGAAGACCTCGACCCCAAACCAGAGTAGATCTTCTTCTTTTTCGAAGACTTCCCAATTTTGACGGGGGTCTTACCATACACATCACCATTCTTTAGGGCTTCTTCATTCACTGCATCCTAGATCTCACCAGAAAGCTCTGCATCCTTTTGAATTTCTGCACCCTTATGAACAACTGCATTTCCTGCCTCTGCTCTCTTTCTAGCCTTCTTTATCTCCTTCAACTCTTACACAGACACCAATTGGGACATTCAAGTCCATCCCCATATCATGTACCATAGTGGCAACTAAAGGTTCATCAGAAGCCTCTTCAGCCGGCCTATGGGAACCCTCAGTCAGCATCAAGGGCTCATTCTCTCCATTGGGGATCACACTCAGAGGTGAGAGGATCGACTGCATCAAACACTGCCATAGCATAGTTAGGATCAAATGAATTCTGATCGATTGGGGCGTCCTCCTCTTGTTCCCCAGTCATGTCCTCTTGCATTGTATAACCTCCATCTCCAGAGAGCAATGCCGGTACTTCGCCCTCAGGATCACCACAACAGCTAAGAGGTCAATGTTGAGTGGATCAGAACGAACCCCTCTACCTTGAAGCCTGACCCTTCATGGCAGAAAGACGGTAGGGTAGGGGATACATCTTCCCTTCCACCACAAGATCAAGAAGTACCACCATGCCAAGAAAATCCAACATAAGCCCTTTTCTTAGCTAAAGCCACAGCGATGATTCCCGAGCCCACACCAACCTTTGCCTGTTTCAATGGCTTCGAGAAGGGCAATTTCTTTATAGGAAAGGGATTTGGATTCAGGAAATCAATTGCAAAGAAGATTTCCTTTCAAATATCCAAGGACGTGTCATCATGGTTCCTGATCTTGGAATCCGTAGAAATTGACACGTGGGACACAAAATCTCTCCCACCACCTTTAGAACAGGATGCACCCCCAAGATCAAAAGCATAAGGTAGACCCTCAGACTGGAAGTCAATGTCTATCGGTTTCATTGAATTCACAAAGTCAACAGGATTTTGCCCTTTATATGCCTCCAAGCTATGAGAGATCAAGGGCGAGAAACCTGCCGTCTCCATCGGAAACTTGCCAAGCGGAACCCACCTTTTTTTATTTTCAAATTCTTTGGCAAATTTGAATTGTATCCAGAATCAGAATTCCAAAACTGACACTGCGAATGTTTCCACCGATTTTTATGAAACGGTCTGCGTTGCACACCATTCCCGGCTACACCAGTGGTTGATTTCAGCCGTGGCTTGGGATGTTTCCGATGAGCAACCACATTCCATCCATTATTCTTTTGTTCTTCTGAGAGTATCAACGGCTTCACAACCTCTCTACCCAAACCTTCCACATTCACCTTAATAAAGAAAAACTCTTTATCAATTTGCAGTTTGATCTTATCGGACATCAGAGCTTCCGGTGTATGCCTAATTTTAACTCGCACAAAACTACAATTCATACCTAGATGGTAATTCCAGTCTAAATCACTATAACTGCCATAGAGATTAACTAAATTTTGGATGACAATAAGTTTCCACACATACAGCAGAATTCTCCACAATCTAATCCAAGCATGTTCCTTACGAGCCATAATTCGAAGGTTTCCAATAGTCATGAGACCAGAGAGATCCTCTAAACCTACAAAATATGTTCAAAAGAGCATTAGAAACACTACCTTATTCCCCCCCAGTGGCTTCCACATCCGGTAAGTACTCAAGACTATCATCTTCTCCCCCAATCACTAAGGCCAAACAACTCTTTAATGGAAGGTGAGAAAGAACCAGTCACAAAGAATTCAGGATTGATCTCTAGTTTTTCCACAACAATCCTATCCAAATAATCTAAGAGGATTAAGCCATCAGAACCTATTACCCCCGAGTTATCACAAACCACCCGTCCTACCTCCATTACCCTCTCTGCTAACTCCCCATCCCTCAAAACTCATAACTTGATTTCAAAATGGGTGGTTTGTTAAGGGGTCATTGATTAGACACAAAGTGCCAAAAATATATTCTCAAACTTCATGACTCACCCCAAGCATACAATTTGGTATCTAATGAGTGGGAATAGTTGTGACCTCCTTGTACAAAAAATAAATGATCTAGTTGTAGACAATCCCTAAATCTCATACTATCATACATGGGCATAAACAAGAGAGATGGTTATCCATCTCATCCTCGATGAACACCAAGAATTGTTACATCACTCTCTACATTCTCCTCTTATCTAACAAATCTCAGTGATATGACAACAAAATTGCTTTCTACATGCTGCATCCCTTTCCATGTTACCTACCAAAAATGGAGAGAATTTCTAGTTATACAAGGGCCCACTTCCCCAATATCTTTTTACAACTGAAAAATTTCTAAATATATGAGAGACAATAATGTAAATATGGGAAGAATCATCCCTTTAACTTGCACAATTAGCTCTTCAACTTCCACAAAACAGAATTGCATTTCAATTAAGATACCTAAGCATTTGTTGCTTGGGTTCTCCTAATTTTCGACATCGCGTGCTGCTTGGATAATCCTTCTGCTATAAGTTGTTTACCAAACAGGTCGCAATTCTTAAGTAGCAAGTTCCTTGACTCCGAATCCACAACATATCCTTGCCCACTCATCCACTCAAGCATATGTAGTAGGAGCTCTTTCTTTTCAGGCTCACCAACGTAACGAGAAACAGCTAAAGAGAATACCCCCTATAACAATGCAGACAGTCAAAAATGCATTTAGATTACACTAAAGTGGTAAAACTGAAAATAGACTGAAACAGGAATGAGCAACCAAAGCAGAATAGAAAAGGGAAGATTAACTCTTATCCATTGGACTATCGTATACAGTATTCAAAGGCTACATCCACCACCCATATCCACCGCAGATGGTTGAGATTAACTGGAATGGGGCACATAGGGACATTGATTCACCCAAGTAGAGATAATTTCCAACCATTTGTTGGTGGAAACAGGGATGGCGTGTCAACTTTAGAGACATATACCCTACTCATGGCACATTTTTCAATGCATAAGTGGCACTATGGTTCAAAAAACTGTGAAAATATAAGATTATGACAGCTGTTATAGCTGCAACAACCATGCCATGTAATTGTAATGTAATTATGAATAAACGTCTTTCAATATAACAGTTGCCGCATAATGGTGTAATGGCTGTTACAATGAGCTTGAAGGTTGGAAAAAAGGTGTGTTACCCCCCTATAGTGTCCATTTTTTTTAAAAGACACCCATTATCTACAATTTAATGTTGTTTTTTTAAAACTTTAATGAATTTTGAATGAATAACAAATATAACACCGAGCAAAACTCTAAGAACCAATATTATGCATAATACTTATGATTCTTGATATAATGCCCGTCATAACTTATATTCAAAATTCTAAATATTATTTATTTTTCTGTTTCAAATCTATCATAATGGCAGTTAACATTATAAAAAACTATGTACTTTTGATACAAGGGGGTCACAATCATCACTAACCATTAGATTTGAAATCGACTGGTTGAGGATGTATTATTGTTTAGGCACAAAGTCCAAAATAAAATTTTTCAAATGTTGTGACACTTTTATCTATTGGATTTCGCATCCAACAACTAAAAGTGATTGTGAGCTCTTTGTACCAAAAATAAATGGTCTCATAGTATACAATCCCTAGCATTAAAAAATGCAAAGGTCAATGCCTAATATCTTACACTATAACTGATTTTTAAACCTTGCTTTGTACAAATGCTGAGCATTTTTCCCTGGCTTACCTGATTGATCAGGTAGCCATTATTATGAAGTGCTCTGAGAACATCATTTATGAGGTTGATGTTACCAAACTTCATGAAGGAGGTGACGAACTTGTCCAAGGCAGATTTTGAGATCAACTCTGAGTTATCCTGAAAATAGAGAACTTAATTTAGCAAGTGAAAAAACCTTTCTCAACCATGTTTGGAGGGTCAATACCTTCACAAGGACATAAGCATCTTTAAGAAGCCGCCCTGCAACTAGGATCTTCAGCACCTTCTCATGAAGAGCTTTACACAGTGTACGTTTGGTGTATCTCAGCTTGTTGTAAACAGAATAAGCTTCTGAAGCAGCTCCTGCTTTTCCAAGTTCTAAGATCAGTGAAGTACAAAGCTCCTGCAGATAGTTTTTAACATTTGATATCAAAATATTGTTAGGCATTTAAAAAACTCAAATTGAGGACAAGAATTATGTAAAAACTAAGACAGATAATTTGATACAAAATCATTTGACAGTTGCTATGGTTACCATTTTCGGACCCCAAGTTGTGTTGTATCGCTTTTGTAAAAAACCAAAAACAGAAAGCAAACATTGTAAACTTCTTTCATGGTAGGTAAAGAAAAGATAGAATGGGGACAAAGGACTTCGACTAGCCAAACCAAGTCAAAAAATTCCATTATCTCAAGAAGGCAATATAGTGTGAACATACTCCGCACGACGAAAAGGCAATATACCTTCAACGAAAAACAAATGTTCTAAGACCAAATAACAATTCTGATTCGGGCTTCCACTTCTCCTATTGGAACGTTTTAACTCCCTTAGGCTCCATCAGAAGACTCCCAATATATATGAGTCAAGAAACCTGGGTTCTTGCACAGTAGTAATGTAAGTAAATGAATCCATGGAGGTAAATGGACAAGGTTGAATGATCCAATTACGTAATTAAAGGGCCTTAAATGCTGCATATATTCAATACAGTTCTGGATGTTTGCTTGTATATTATCATTTTGTATATTTTTTCCCCTTCCTGTTGTTCTATATTTGACTTGGGGAAGTTCTTTGTTTCAGTTTTTTTTTTTTTTCTGAAAATATATATTTAAATTCAGTGTTTTAAAAAGCGGACCGCCCAACGCCAGGGCAGCTGCCTAAGCGGCCAAATTAGGCGGATATCCTTGGTCGCCCGCTTGAACCCGCCTGAGCGGCCACCCAGAGCTTGCGCCCTGCCTAGGGGCGGAAATGCGGCTCCTTGAGGGTATTTGTTTGTCATTTTTTAATACCAAAAGGGTAAAATTATGGGTTTTAGATTCATTTGAAACCTAAAACCCATTAGGGGCTATTTTAGCGAGAGAAAACCCAAAAACCGCGTAGGCCCTAGGCGCTCTGGACCCCCCCCACCGCCTAGGTGCCGCTAGCGCTTTTTGAAACACTGTTTAAATTTTACCAAAATATTAGCTCTTTTAACATTTTACCCTTTTGGGCCCATAATATGGGCCCTACACCTATCATGGGCCTCGTGCCCATTATGAAATCTCCATGTGGTGATAATGCACATTGACCAAGAACTCCTGCACTTCTGGAAACCCAATCTGTACTATCCTACTAGATTTAGATGTTTTCCTGTTGTAACTTATATGAATCATAATTGTAACTCACATGCATGTTGAACTATATTGTAACTTGTCCACACTGCCCCTTGACTGGAATAATGTGAAAAAGACACATCTATCTTTTACCCCCATGATTGGAATAATGTAAAAAAAGCACATCTTTTACCCCATCTTGTATTTGAATATTTCTCTCTCTCTCTCTC